TAGCTCTTTACCCCATTTTTAATTGAATTATTGATTTGTTGCCTTTTTTAAAGTTCTTTATATATTCTGGATATTAGTCTTATGTCAGATACAGGGTTGGTGAAGATCCTTTCCCTGTCTGCAGGCTGTTGGTGTGTTCTGATGACAGTGTCCTTTGCTTTACATAAGCCTTTCAGTTTCATGCGGTCCCATTTATTGATTGTTAATCTTAGAGCCTGTGCTGATGATGTTCTGTTCAGGAAGTTGTCTCCTGTGCCAATGAGTTCTAGGTTTTCCCCCACCTTTTCTTCTAACCAATTTAGTGTTATTTAGTGTTTTGATTATGATGTGATGTGAGGAGTTTCTTTTCTGGGCTAGTCTATTTGGTGACATGTAAGACTCATGTACATTTAGGGATACCTCTTTTTTTAAGTTGGGAAAATTTTCTTCTTTGGGTTTCCTGAAAATATTTTCTAGACCATAGAGCCTGTAATCTTCTTTTTCGTCTATTCCTATTATTCTTTTTTTTATGTTTTCATTTTTTAATTTTTTTTTTATTAGTTACACTTTATTTACTTTGTATCCCCCCTGTAGTTTCCTCCCTCCTCCTCTCCCAATCCCTCCCTTCTTCCTCATTCTGCCCCTGCCCAAGTCCACTGGTAGGGGAGGTCTTCTTTCCTTCCTTCTGATCCTAGTCTGTTAGGTCTCATCAGGAGTGGCTGCATTGTCTTCCTCTGTGGTCTGGTAAGGCTGCTCTCTCTTCAGGGGGAGGTGATCAAACAGCAGGCCAATCAGTTCATGTCAGAGGCAGTCCCTGTTCCCACTATTATGGAACCCACTTGGACACTGAACTGTCATGGACTACCTCTGTGCAGGGGTTCTAGGTTATCTCCATGCATGGTACTTGCTTGGAGTATGAGTCTCAGGAAAGACCACTGTGCTCATATTTTTTTTTTTTTGTTTCTGTTGCTCTCCTTGTGGAGTCCCTGTCCTCTCCAGATCTTACTATTTCCCACTTTTTTCATAAGATTCGATGCACTCTGTCCAACAGTTGGCCCCTAACTCTCAGCATCTGCTTTGATAGTCTGCAGGGCAGAGCCTTTCAGAGGCCCTCTGTGGGAGGCTCCTAACTAGTCTCCTGTTTTTTTCTTCTGATGTCCATCCTCTTTGCCTTTCAGGATGGGGATTGAGCATTTTAGTCAGGGTCCTCTCTCTTGATTAGTAGTTTCTTTAGGTATACAGATTTTAGTAGGTTTATCCTATATTATATGCCTATATGAGTGAGTATATACCGTGTGAGTCTTTCTGCTTCTGGGACAGCTCACTCAGGATGATCCTTTCCAGTCCCCACCATTTACCTGCAAATTTCATCATTTCCTTGTTTTTCATTGCTGAGTAATATTCCATTGTATAGATGTACCACAATTTCTGTATCCATTTTTCAGTTGAGGGGCATCTGGGCTGTTTCCAGCTTCTGGCTATTACAAATAAAGCTGCTACAAACATGGTTGAGCAAATGTCCTTTTTGTGTACTTGAGCCTCTTTTGGATATATGCCTAGTAGTGGCATCGTTGGATCTTGAGGAAGGGCTTTTCCTAGTTGTCTGAGAAAGCGCCAGATTGATTTCCAGAGTTGTTGTACAAGTTTACATTCCCACCAGCAGTGGAGGAGGGTTCCCCTTTCTCCACAACCTTTCCAGCATGTGTTGGCACTTGTGTTTTTCATCTTGGCCATTCTGATGGGTGTAAGGTGAAATCTCAGGGTCGTTTTGATTTGCATTTTTCTAGTAGCTAATGATGTTAAGCATTTCTTTAAGTGTTTCTCTGCCATTCGATATTCCTCTATCAAGAATTCTCTGTTTAGCTCTGTTCCCCATTTTTTAATTGGATTACTTGGTTTGTTGCTTTTCAGCTTCTTTAATTCTTTATATATACTGGATATTAGCCCTCTGTCAGATAAAGGGTTAGTGAAGATTCTTTCCCAATCTGTAGGCATTAGTTTTGTTTTGATGACGGTGTCCTTTGCTTTACAGAAGCTTTTCAGTTTCATGAGGTTCCATTTATTGATTGTTGCTCTTAGAGCCTGTGCTGTTGGTGTTCTGTTAAGGAAGTTGTCTCTTGTACCAATGAGTTCTAGGGTCTTCCCCACTTTTTCTTCTAACCGATTTAATGTGTCTGTTTTTATGTTGAGGGTTTTTGATCCACTTAGACTTTAGTTTTGTGTAGGGTGATAATTATGGATATCTTTGCATTTTTCTACATGTAGATATCCAGTTAGATTAGCACCATTTGTTGAAGATGCTATCTTTTTTTCCATTGTATGGTTTTGGCATTTTTGTCAAAGATCATGTGTCCATAACTGTGTGTGTTTATTTCTGGGTCTTCTGTTCAGCTCCATTGATCCACCATTCTGTTTCTAACTTTGCATACTTTTTAAACCTTGTGTACTTTTCAGGAAAGTGTCCTGGCCTTCTGAGAAGCTCCAGCATCCATGCCAAGGTGCCTCTGGGATATCCTATTCATCTTTCCCTGGGCACCCCCTCTTCAGTTCTTCAGCTCCCCTGGATGCCACACCCTGTGGTCCTTGAAAAGGGTGCCCAGATCTTCAACTTGTGATGCTGGCCTCTCCACACCTCCAAAAACAACATCTCAGGTCTCCAGTTGATTGAGGCTAAATCTCCACAACTCAGGACCTGAGAACAGACCCCTGGAGAAACTGAGAAGCTGAAGCCACAGAGAAAGCATCATCATCTGAGGCCCAGTTATGGCTGCTGCTGGCAGGGAGCTAGTCTGTAAGCTCTGGAGCCATCTTTTTAGTAACAATTTATAATCAGAGGCAGGTAGCTTTCCATGATGTGTCGCTGCTACACTAGAAATCTGAGCTCTTAGTATAAATTCATAGTTACCTTCCCAACCTCCAAGGGAAGAGTAGTCCTGCTAGGCCACAGAGGAGGACTTTGCAGCAAGTCCTAAAGATACCTGATAAAACAGGGTCAGATGAAAGGGGAGGAGGTCCTTCACAATCAGTGGACTTGGAAAGGTGCAGGGAGGAGATGAGGGAGGGAGGGTGGTATTGGGAGGGAATGAGGGAACGGGATGCAGCTGGGATACAGAGTTAATAAAATGTAACTAATAATAAAAAAATAAATTAAATTAAAAAAATAAAATAAATTCATAGTTTTAGCTAAGGAAAGTTGTTTTGTTTAGTTTAGAGTCTTTGTAAACCCCTTAGGGCATGAGTTAATAGTCCCCTCCCCAGCAGCTCTCTGTAAAAATGGCTGTTCTGGCCTCTAACTGTAACAAATGCCATCATCTCCAGCCCATTAATGAGATCCCTCCAGGATCTATTTCTAACAGGATCTCAAGGGCAGGCTGTTTGACACCCCCCCCCCAGGGGAGGAGCAGTCTGTTAGGCCACAGAGGAGGACTTTGCAGCCAGCCCTGAAGATACCTGATAAAACAGGGTCAAATGAAAGGGGAGGAGGTCCTCCCCTATCAGGGGACTTGGAAAGGGGCAGGGAGGAGACCAGGGAGGGAGTGTGGGGTTGGGGAGGGAATGAGGGAGCCGGATACAGCTGGGACACAGAGTTAACAAAATGTAACTAAAAAGAAAAATAAAATTAAAAAAAAATTGAACAAAAATGCGCCAATCCCTAAGCTTCCTCCAAGCTCAGGACTTAAAACCCAACCAATCCTCATTCTGGAAATCTCTGCTCTAGAAAGCACTTCCTCCAAAAACTGGTTTATAAAGTCTGTTTCCTCAGTTCTTTGCTTTTATTCCTGGGAGCAGGGGCAGCCACTCCTGTTTCCTCCCTCCAATAAATGTCTTTTAAGAGATTTACTGCCTGGTGTGACTTTTTCATCTGAAGAAGCAAAGAAGCCCAGAGGAGAAGAAGCACAGAAGGAGCAGAGTGTAGGTTCAGGAGCTCCTCAGCTCCTCAGAGGTTGTAGTAACTCTCCCCTGCTACCTGCAATGTCTCTACTGAGGAGGGGTCCTCTTAGAGCTCAGTAGTTCCTGGGTTTCTCTGTCTCAGAATACTGGTCCCTTGGGACACTGTCCCACCTCAGAGCTGAAATACCTTCCCAGGCCTCAGAGTTGTAGGTTTCCTAACCTTATCAGGAAGGCCAACACCTGTCAATTCATACCTTCTGGTTCATCTGCAACACTGAAATAAATTACTTCATTGATATGCTTGCAATAAATAGGGTCACAGTTTCAAATTTTATGATGTTATAATAGACCGTTTGTAGATTCTTTAGCAAGGCAAACAGGGTTGAGATCTTCTAGAGACCACAAGATGACTATAAGTGATCTGCTTAATACACTTCTAAAATTATGTCCAGTGAGTGTATCTTCTCAGTAGGATATGTCCATGAATGGGGCATTTAATTATCTTCTAATTTGAAAAAATATAATTTGATGAATCATAGTAATTTAGTACTAGCTATTAACTATTTTGTAACATGAAAGGATTTTACTGTGTAACTGAAGCTGTCCAGGAATTCAATATTTTCTTTTTATTCTATGTTCAATCATTACAAGAATGAATCACCATGATCTCTGGCTAATTACTAAGTCCTTCCACTTTCACCGTCCTTCCTCTCATTCCCTATCAAATAACACTCCTCAAGTATAAATGGTAGCTTTTCTATAAACACTTAGTTAGAGATAAATAATACTTTTCTTCTATTAATTGTGTACACATAAGTTTTATAATAGTCATTCTTTTAGTTATTTAAATATATCTATTAAATTTCAAATAAAAACACCTTTAACTAAGTATTGCAACTCTTAAACTTTCTTCTAGAGATATATTTGAAGTCTCAAAGACAAAGTAGTACTTGGTATAACATACCGCAAAGCTATACTTATTTGGAAAGCTAGAATGAATTGACACACTATGATTTCTCCAATATCACTTATCCAAAAAGAAAAGAAAAAAATTATAGTTGTATTTATTATTTTCATATTTCTTTCCAGGCAATCTAATTCACAAAAATATTTTATTAACGACTTAATACCTCTGAATTCTCCACGTTTCCAAGGACATACATGGAGAATGTACGGAGTTGAGTTGTCAGGTTCTATGGTGATACAGGGATTTCCCCAAACTATTGAGAGATCTGAAGTTACCTAGGAAAGCAGATTAGAAAATTAGAATTATGTAATGTCAATACGAAAAGGTTTTCTTTGTTTTATCATGCTATTATATTACATATGAGTTTGTCATAAGCTACTGCATAAAATGTATACTAATTCAATTACTTTCATTAAATCTGTAGACTTTTCATCGAAAATAAAGTCAGAAAACTGTCTTAGACTAGAAAAGAAAAATCTGAGAAGAGATATGGAAAATCAGAAAAAGGAAAATAATTTTTACAGAAAAGCAATTTAACTTTTTTGTTGCTACTTGAATATTGATCATAAAATATTATTATCTTTTACAGATAACAAGTAATTTTTAGGGAAATTTGATGTACAAGAAATATAACTATTTCAGTGAGTTTGTAAGTAATAACACAGTATGTGAAGAATATTTAAACAAATGATTAGTACAATCTTGCTTAAAGTTTCAGCTAGTCATATTTCTATATATATGTCCATTATAGTCAATTCCTAGAAATTAAATCAGACATCTTAAAACAGTTTTAAGATTTACATTTTAATTTTTATTAGTGCATATATGTGTGTCTATGTGTGTATGCTATTCATGAAGATCAGAAGAAGGACTTGAATGTCATGGAGCTGTAATTATAGGTGGTTACAACCTGATTGATGTGGGTACTAAGATTTGAATTTTCAACAGAGGAAACTCGAAAGGCTGAGAAGCACTTAAAAAAATGCTGAATTTCATCAGGGAAATGCAAATCAAAACAACTTTGAGATTCCATTTTAGCTATTCCATCAGCATATGAAGATAAAAATGAAGGATCCAATGAAGATAAAAAATGAGGATCCAAGGGAGGATGCATAAATCTCACTTGGAAGGGGAGATAGAACAGAGAGAGGTAGTGGCTGAAGAGAGAGAACACGGTAGGAGAGGGGGCACAGAGAGTTTAGATGGTGGAGAACAGACCTGGGGAGAGCAAAAGCAAGAGGACAGAAAACTGGAAACTGATGGTGGGGGTATCTCTGTAACAACTTGGAGACATAAATCAAGGTAGGCTTCTGGGAGGACATGAGCGGGTTTCTAGTAGAGACTCCTAGTAGTAGAGGAAATAGAGACTGAAGAGGACAACTTCTAAGCAGATTAGCATAATATAGGGAGGAGAACTCCAACCTATCCACATAAAATGTCAACCAAAAATTTAGCCTGCCTACAAGATGTCCAGGGATAAAGGTAAAGCAGATAGAGCAGATTGAGGGAATGTCCAGCAATGCCTGACCCAACAAAACCTACCCTATGGGAGAGGGCAAACCCCTGACGCTATGAAAGATACTCTGCTAAGTTTGCAGACAGGAGCCTGACAGAACTGTCCTCTGAGAGAATGTACACAGCAGGAGAGGAGTGGAGAGGAGGTATACTAAGTTAAGAGGGTGGAGATCAGACTTGTGGAGAGCCAGGGCAAGAGGACAGAAGGCCTATAAAGAAAAGAGAAACTGGGTGTGGGGTTATATCTGTGACAAGTTGGAACCATAAGTCAGGGTAGGGTCCTGGGAAGATATGGCAGAGACTCCTAATCGCAGAGGCAATAGAGACTGATGAAGACACCCTCTAATTAGACCACTCTTCTAGATGAGAAAGGGGAACAACATCTCACCCACAAAAACTTTGACCAAAAATTTACCTTGCTTACAAGATGTGCAGGGATAAAGATAGAACAGTGACTGAGGGGATGCTCAACCAAAGCCTGGCTCAACCAAAGACTCATCCTGTGTGAGAGGGCCAACCACTTACACTAACAACAATGCTCTGCTAACCTTGCAGAAAGAGGCTGGTCACAGTTGTCCTGAGAGGCTCTATCAAGCAAAAATTCAAAACTGATGCTTAGTCTCACAGCCAAATATTGGGCGATGCATAGAGAGGCCTTTGGACAAATGGGAAGAAAGAGAAAAAGACCTGGAGGTAACAGGAACTACAGGAACTCCACAAGAAGACAAACAGAGCCAACTAACCAGGGTGCAGAGGGGCTTTCTGGGACTGAAGCATCAACCAAGGACCATGCATGAACTGGCCCTAGCCTTCCTACAAAGATGTAGCAGATGGGCAGCTTAGGCTTCATGTGGGTCCTCTAACAAAGGAAGTGGGAACTGCATTGGACATAGACTCACTTGCCAGCTTTTTTATCACTCCCCCATGGCTGGACTGCATTGCCAGGCTACAGGGCATGCAACTCGATGAGCTGGGGTGGATGGGAAAGAGAGCTCCCTTTACCTGAGGAAAAAGTAAGGGTGAAGGGGAGACAGATGGAGGGTGGGACTTGGAGGTGAGGAAGGATGTGGCTACAAAAAGGTTATAAACTAAATTGAAAAAGGAATTGTACGTCTGTTCTCTAGAAGAGCTACAATGTGCTTAACCATTGAGCCAAAACTTCAACTCCCACATAGATATTTTGTAACTATGGTTTTCATTTATAACAGAAATTTCTTTTGTAAAAATGTTTTTTTTACTCTTAGACCAAATAGATTTTTAATGAAGACAATAATATGTTTTTGATAAATTTATTTGAACAGCAAAACATATCAATTATGATCAATATTTTGAACATGAGCATTCTTTCCATATCACAAATGAAGACAGAGACACTAAGTGGCATTTTCCTGGGCTGGCAGTGTTAGGTTCAACTGCAGAATTCTAAAAGATTTTAAGTTATGGTGTGAAAGGAGTCAAGAAATGCATTTTCACGAGCTTGTTTTTCTTTTTTTTTTTTTTTCTTCACAGTTCCTACAATGAAAGTATTTGGAATATTCTTAAAATGAGCTCTTTTATGTCATAAGTGTCCCATCAGGTAAAAATTCTTTTTAAGTTGACAAAAATGATATTTCTTATGTATGAAATTTAATTGTCAGGTATAAATTTCCCCACATTATGAAGCAATGATGATACCTTAAAAACTGAACTATAAATAAGAATCTCTGTTTTCACATTATACTGAACATAATACACACACACACACACACACACTCCACACACACACACAGAAAACACTCACTATATGAACACCCATACAATTCATACATCTTTTGGTGATCAGAATCATAGTTGTTCCAAAATTTTAACTATTTTGGATTCCACTTGTGAGTAGTATCACTGTCTTTGTTGTCTTTCCTTACATCTTATTTAGACACATCCATGTTATAAGTAAAGAAATATTCTTTTTGAAGACTGCATAATATTTTATTGTACAGACATATCAACAGATTTATACATATATATATTTATATACATATCCATTAACCCATCCATTATCTATCTACCTGTCTCCCTCCTCCTCTACTTCTTCTTCCTCTTCCTTGTCCCCTTCTTTTCTTCTTTCCTGTTTCTTACTTTTTGAGACATGACTTCATTCTGTAACTCATGCTGACCTGGATTTCACTGAACTCACTATATAAAAAGAGATAGCCCATGGCAGTTCAGTGTCCAAGTAGGTTACCTAGTAATGGGAAGAGGGACTGCCTCTGACATAATCTGATTGGCCTGCTCTTTGATCACCTCCCCCTGAGGGGGGAGCAGCCTTACCAGGCCACAGAAGAGGACAATGCAGCCACTTTTGATGAGAACAGATAGACTAAGATCAGAAAGGAGAGGAGAACCTCCCCTATCAGTCGACTTGGGGAGGGGCATGCATGCAGAAAGGGGAGGGAGGGTGGGATCAGGAGGGGAAGAGGGAGGGGCTTATGGGGGGATTCAAAATGAATAAAGTGTAATTAATAAAAAATTAAAAAAAAAGAGGGCCTTGAAATTAAAACAATTTTAAAATCCTAGCCTTCCAAGTGATATATTAGCATTACAGAGAATCTACTGTATGTTTGTTACTGGCCTTTTTCTACTGCTACATTAACAATTCACTTTTTTTCTTTTCTTTCAAATGTTTGAAAAATCAAATGGAGTGCCCGGTGTAGATCATTTTATTCTTGTCCATTTTAAGTTGGATGGGCTTTTTGGATATGAAGATTAATGTAATTTTTAATTTCTGGAACTAATCCTTTCCTTTAGATTTTTAATTACTCTTTTGTCTTTCTCTTCTTCTCAAGTACGATTATTAGGGACATGCTGATATGTTTCATGGTGATATACAGATATCTGCGTTTTGGTGAATTTTCTTTATATTTTCTCTTCCTGAGACTGGGAAACCTACATTGACCTATAATCAAGCTTGCTGATATTGTCTTCTTCTCATAATTTAAATCTACTCCTGAGATTATTGCCAGAGCCAGCCAGCAGAGTCGAACGGTTCTTGAGTCAGAAGTGAAGATTAAAATTAATAAAATAAACACACAGCACACAGGAAACTTTTTAAAGGTCCAGACTCGACAGCCACAGAAAAAGGCAGGCTGCTGCAGCAAGCACCGCAAGCAGCAAGTTGCCAGTCTCTGCCTCCTCCTCTGCCTCCAGCCCTCTGACCTCTTTGTGAGGAGTTACTTTTAGCCAGTAAAACATCTCAGAACAATGGGTTAATTTGCACAAGGAGCCTGAGGAAGAGGTGTGACCCTCACAAGCTATCCCACCTGCTGTCACAAACAAAAGGAGATGGACTTGCAAGTTCTTCTCTGCCATTAGTAAAGGCCTGCTAAAAGCCATCTCTCCGCCGAGATTTAAATATCAAAGCAGGCCACTGGAGTCCCGGCTCCGGACAGATTATGTGGTGAACACTTTGTTTAATTTACCTTATTTAATTATGAATTATATTTATTGTTATTTATTATTTATTATTACTTATTATTATTCCTCAGAGTAATAATTAATGTCAGCATGACTATCTGTGTGACATGCACCTTGTGTTTGTAGAGGGTAGAAGAAAGCAACAGATCCCAGAAACTAGATGGTTGTGATCTGCCATGTGAGTTGTGGGAACTGAATCAGTGTCCTATGAAAAAGCAGCAGTCAATGCTCTTAACAACTAAGCCATCTCTCCAGGCTCCTATTTCTATATCTTGATTGTTATCTATTTATTGAAAAATCAGTATGGTAT